TAGTATTCGTTTTCAGTCAAAATCTTTCATCTGAAAATATTGGGTGGAAGTTTCACATGCATTTACACTCAAACGCCATTTGCAACATTTTTTAAAATGTCAAATTGTTACTGAATTTAAAAAAATATTTATTTCAGGTGCATTGCTAATGTTCTTCGTAAAGACACTTTGACATTGAGATCTGCAGTCTGACAAGGTTCTTTAAGGTTAATGGAGAGCTTTTTGTTTCTGTTACAGGAGGAGGAGCTGAAAAAGGCTATACTTGTGGTGTTTGCCAACAAACAGGATATGGAGCAAGCGATGACACCCACAGAAGTGGCAAACTCACTTGGGTTACCTGCACTAAAGGACAGGAAATGGCAGATTTTCAAAACATCTGCGACAAAAGGCACTGGATTAGATGAAGCCATGGAGTGGTATGTTGAACAGCTGTGAAGCATAAAATGTTAATTTATCCTGAGATTAACACAACACAATCTTTCATACTGGAAACATAGCAAATGTTTTTTCATCTGCTGATTAACTGTGTACTGTTGTCTTGTCTCAAAAGCAGAAAAATGCCCTCGGGCATCTGTTTGGAATTCAGATAGCATTCATATTTATATAGCTTCCCCCAGGAAATCAACAGCTGAACCGAGCATTTTGAAAGCAGTAGCATTTCCAGTGTGCCTTGATCTTATCTGATCTCGAAAGCACTGCAAGCATGGACCTGGTCAGTCCTGGGGTGTGAGACCACTACAGAAAACCAGGCCGCTGCTGTTACTGGTGGTGGTGGACAAGTAGTAGGTGCTCTTCCCTCTTACGGTTTGAGGAGGTGCCAAACTGAGGTCTTGACGACTTAGTCATAAAAGATTCCCTGGCACTGTTGGAGACAGTGGAGGATCCAGGTGAAATTCCACTATATTTGTATAATCGGTCTTCCCTGAATTCCCCCCTCAGTTCAGTTGGAAAAGCAGAATCGCACTTCACTGCCTGCTCCGTTCTGTGTTGGGGTTGCTGGTGCAGACTGGCTCTCGCCTGTCACCAAGGGGAGTCTTCAGAGGCTGATGAAGTGAAGAGCAAAATGCATGAAGTTATTGTAATTGTTGAGCTTACTGTGTTAGTCACGGAAGGCCAAATCATGATCTAATGCTTTTTTTTTCTTTTGTGCAGGTTGGTTGAAGCTCTGAAAAGCAGACAGTAAATCTGCAGTGTTGTTCTTTAATCCTCTCGACATTTATCTCCTACTTGTAAATACTCTCCAAGAAATTGTTGGACCAGGAAATGTATTAACAAGTTAAAAGCTGAGACACGCTCAAACACAAATGTTTTCAGGAAGCCAGAAGGAACAGCTGTGTTCATCCAGTGATGGGATGTGGGTTAAGAACTACCTGTGGCTGATGGTGAAAGAAGTGATGTTTTTTTCAGCGATGGGGCCTCAGTCTGTGACCTCAGGAAGAGGAAATTAGTGCCACTGCACTGCAAACACCTTTTACCTAACTTTTTGTTGCAGCTTATGTACTGGTGTTATTTTTTTGTATTTATGTGGATTTCATGGTTTTGAAGACTTAGATTGGGCTTTATTAGTACTTTTGTGTTGCTTTTACAGATCCCATGTTTTGCTTGGTGTTTTAATTAGAAACTGACACTAATATAAAATCTAAAAATGCTTGGGATGTCTTCCAAATCTCATATTTATCAATGTCTTCAGAAGAGGACGGATTCTGTAAATTGTGATGTTTTCACACTAAGATCTCAATAAATACAGTACTAGAGCTTAGCTCCTCTGTGTCATTTCTTCTGATCTTTAAACTTCTCTTTTCACCAGAAAGTATTCTTTTGACCAAGGTTTTTGACAAAGGAGGGTTCAAGACATTCCCCCTACACCTGTATATTGGTTATATGAATAAATACAGCCAGCAGCTACATCAATCTGCAACTAACAACTGGCAATACACTAAAGCTCAGCAGGTGTGAGCCTGGCCAATACCTGCATGAGAGACCTTCTGGGAAAACTAAGGTTACTGCTGGAAGAGGTGTTAATGGGGCCAGCAGGGGGCACTCACCCTGCGGTCTATGTGGGTCTTAATGCCCCAGTATAGTGACAGGTACACTATACTGAGAAAAAGGTACTTTCCAAGGAAGAAACATAAAACCGAGGTCGTGACTCTCTGTGGTCATTAAAAATCCTAGGGTTTTTCTTGAAAAGAGTAGGGGTGTTACCCTGGTGTCCTGGCCATGTTTCCCCCCTGGCCTTTACCAGTCATGGCCTCCTAATAATCCCCATCTCTGAACTGTCTTCATCACTCTGCTCTCCTCCCCCCTGAGAGCTGGTGTGTGGGGAGCTCCACAGCCAAAAACATTGCATTTCTTTTCTTCTCTTTTCAGCATGGAATAAGTACATGTAAACATTTTATGGTATGGCTGTTAAAATAATTCAAAGTCCACGTTTTAATATGCAATACTAGATCTGTCCACCAGATGCCACTGAAGCACTGTAATAATTTCTTTTGGCTGGGAACAAAGGCCTAAGAAACATTCATAGCTGATGTTTTCCACTGACCGTGAAAATGCCTTTTCATAATATTCTTTAAATTCATTCAGCTAATTAAACTGTGATACTGGACCTCCATTGTTGGCTTCCCTGAACACTGCCCCTCTCCTACATGTAAAAAAGAAATGTTTAAAATCTACACTGGTTACGTGACATTCTCAAAAAACCTGAGGTAAAACACCACCAAGAAGTATTCCACGTTCAGTACAAAATGAAGACTGAAATGAAGCACAGAGCAGCACGTCATTCCCCAAAGCAGAGGGATTTAGTAAAACAGGTATACGTGAAATTTCACAGAAAACAAAATATAAATATAAGTAAAACAAAAGGACATTACGATTAGTTTCCTTGTCAGTGTGGGTTCTGTTTCTACTCGATCACACATTTGGCTGCTTTAAGTAGAATGGATTCGTCTTACACGTTGTAACTCTTAATACATCATTACAAAGTAACAACAAAAAAAGGCCAAGCACAATGGTATTATTTGTGCTTTGAAAGCATGAAGCCAATCTTGTCAGACTGGTACAAGGGTGTTTTCTACAGAACACATCGGATGAATCAGACATAGCTCTTATATTGAATGGTGTGTAGGTAAAGAGCTCACAGCACTGGGCAGAAAAAGCACCAATAGCTTTTTGTCAATAATGCCGACAAAAGGCATTAGCATCAGGGTTTAACTCAAAACACCCACAGAGCAATGAAAAATGAAAACTAAACTGAAGAGCATTTCAGATATGAGCAGATTTGTGAACCAGCTGTCACTCTTCCATCTGGACCGGAATCTCCAGACCAATGTCCCCCTATAATCACCAAGGACACTGTGCTGTTGGAGGTGCCTGTATGATTTGGGCTTCCTGAAAGCCCCCCTGAATTCATGGGGCTGCTGGTGCAGAATGGTCTCTGTGTGTCTCCCAGGTGGGGGCTGTACTTAACAAGTGAAAATCGTTTTTATGTGTTTTTCATTATTAGTTTTTTTCTAGTGGTGAAAATAGCATATTTCACAGAGTATTAAATGCAACACACAGCTCAAGACATTTGATATCCTCCATTAATCTCCTCTGGATGTTGTGTGTGGCTGCCTGTACAATGTGTTTTAACAAGGTCACTTTCAGGTTCCAGTAACACACAAAAACAATCACTTTAAGTGTGACTGGACACACAATGGTATCCTTTAAAAAATAAAGTACAAATTTTTAATACAGAAAGTATTTTCAGCCTTACATTATTCACTGAAAGTGAAGTTAAAGATTGCCATCAGTACTGTCAACGTGACACGAGGTGCACACTCCTTAATGGCCAATTAAATTCACTTCCTGAGGCCTGGGGAGTGCCTGCTGGTTCCTCACTCCACCATTGCCAAGTCTTTCAGTCCACGGCTTTTGTGCCTCTTGGCCTTATACCCGGGACGCAGAAATTCAATCTTCCTCTTCCTGGCTTCTATCTTCTTCTGGTGTTTCTTCAGTTTCTTGCTCGCGGCGACATCAGGATGGGCGACCGCCTGTGTGGAAATGGGAGACAGGGCTCAGCGCAGCTCGATCTCTAAGAGGGGAGCCCCCCCGGAGGCTCGGAGGCCAGGCCCCCAGCTGTGTCGCCCCCGCAGCCTCACCTGCATGGCCTTGTGCCGTTTCCGCACAGCCCGCCTCTGCGTGGCCTCCTTCTGAACAGCGGCGAAGGCCAGGGAGAAGCTCTCCAGGCCCACCAACTTCTTCAGCAGGTCGATAATTTCCTGGGAAAGGTTCTTCAGAGTGGGGTCTGGAAAGACGAACAGCATCTTAATCTTTCCAGAATGCTGGACAGAAATCACATTGTCACACACACACAGAGCTTCCAGCTAAGAAAAATGCTGAGAATGTTAAAGAAAAGTGCAACACTGAAATGTGATAGGGCCAGCTTAATGACCCAAGGAAATCCAATTACTATGAATTCAAAGGAAGCCTAAGAAAGGTTACAAACAATAGGCCACTGAGCCCATCTAGCCTGTAATTCACCTCAACACTTGAAGAACAGGTGAGAAATATCTTGCGATGAATGGAATGAGAACAGAAAAACTGAGCAGCCCTGCTGTGGAATGTTTTCTACATGGCGTTAACTTGTACAGAATTCGCTCCAGTATCTGATTTGTTTCAAAGTGGAATAACATAGCGCACACAGACAAGGACGTACAGTACCTGTGGCTTCTGCTTTTTGATTTCTTTCCCCTTCAGGATATTTTTATTAAGGATCATTCTGCTAGTCTAAGACTTATGCAGAGGAACATACAAACTAGACAATTCAAAGAAAGGCTGTGGCGTTAGACTAAAGATCCATTAAGTCTGAACCGGATGTTGTTCAGAGGGTCAGGGGGACAAGCTTTGGTTGGTTACAAGGAACAAGAGCTGGGTTACTCTCAAGGAGTATTATATCCCATCATATCCGATGTTATATCTGCACAGACTGATAACATCACAGGGGCTGTTAATCAGCAGTACCTTGCTCTGCGTAAGTGCTGTCCAGTTCTCTGTACAGGGGTCCAATTATGGTGGTCAGATAAGGGCTCAGCCTGTCTTTCCCAAGATGAACCGAAATGGCACCCAGGAACTTGAAGACACAGGTCCTCTGCAAGAAAGGAAAGGGAAATCACACAGACTGTCTCACAAAAACAAAATAAGATACTTGAGTTTCTAGACTGACATTTTTTCTACTCTAAAATTCTACTTTTCCAACAACTAACACGTCTAACGGAAAGACATATTAATCTTGCACATAAAACCCTAGATGAGCCCTCACATCCACTCTTTTCAGAATATACTCTCCTACCCCCTGGGAGGAGGTGTAACAGATCCCCTGCATTAAGACCAAGACAACCTTCACGTCCTTCATACCTAAAAAGCATTCAGCTGTTGAACAATGAAAAGAAAGGTCTCATTACTATTGTGGTTTTCAGACTCTTTACCAGCTACTTGGCTGCTTTTAATCTTAAGGTCCTGGAAGAGTCCTGACTGAGCGATGTTGTTAAATGTTGTTTTCTATTATGGTACTGCACCGTTTGCTGTATTGGATTATTGTCCTATACAGCATGTTATATGTTTACGAGCTCTCGATGTGCAAGCCCAATTGCCAGATTCCCTCAGCGGCAACAGAGGTTAATTCTATAAACTGGAAAAAAAGAAGCATTTCACTGCACTTGCGAACATGACAAATAAACTGAACTGCGCTGATCAATTACCTAGACAGAGAAAAAACTACAAACGAGCAGAGAAACACTTTTTCTGGGCTTCCTTCGTCCTAGCCATGGGAACGGACAGCTCAAGGGCTCTCTCACGCTCTGTCAGCAGACTAACGGTCCCGCTGGCTCTGCTCCATGGCCGGAACGCTGGGTGCTGGTATGGGTGTCACAGGCCACAGGAATACCCAACTGCTACGCTCCCGAAACGCAGGGTGCAGCAGCGAACGTTAAGAGCAGCGCAGGCAGACGGCACTCGAGTCACCTTCAAGGGGTCCTTCGGCGTGCTGGCGGCCTCCCTCTTGGCCAGCACGGACAGCTTCTTCATCACCCACAGCAGCGAGGGCAGCCTGTCCGAGCCCCCCGAGTCTCTCGCCCCGCCGGCCGGCTCCTCGGCCTCCTCCTCGCCGGCCGAATCCCCCCCCGCCCCCGCCAGCGGCTCGGAGTCCGGCGCCAGCAGGTAGATCACCTTGGCCACAAAGACGAGGTTCTTCACCACCTGGGAGAGAAATAACCGGCTGAAATCGGCAGCCCCCCTGGGAAGGGAAGGCACCCTTCAGGAGAGATATCGACAGTACGAGCACAACGAACGTCTTATTGGTTCATTCGCAAATGACAAAAGATAATACTGTCGCTCGATTGCAACACGATTATTCCATGCTTTTAAATCATTTAATTCCCTGTTTTAAATCATTAGATATTCTTGGAGTTGCATGAATTTAAATGAACGTCCTCATTCCAGCTGGTCACATCACAGTATTTGAGAACAGGCAGCAGTGTGCCGAGTGCTCAGGGCTCAGGACTGTACCCCCTGAGTGATGTGGGTTCAAATCCCACGTGGGACTCTTGTTTCAACCCTGTACAAGGTACTTCATCCCAATACATACTGTCTAAATATGTTAATAGGTCTGCATTGTAAGTTCACCATTCACCATTAGTGAAAAGGAACAGACCGGTATCATTGTTAACAAAGCTCTCGTGCAGAACACGTCTCACTGAATTCTATGGCAGGTTTAATAAAGCCCAGTTTTGATTAGTTTCAGTTTCAGCACGGGAAAAAAACAAAGTGAGGAAATTATTCAGAAAAAACAAACAGTCCAAAGACTGTGGGGAAGAAGAGTGCAGGAAGGCATTGAGTTTTCTAATCACCTGAAGTCATGAAAAGGACAGATCACCACTCCACAATCAAAAAAATCACACTGAAGTTTTCCACATCCTAAGCAAGCCACCACGGGCAAAATCTTTTTTTTTCTAAACCAGGACAACCAGTTTTAGATTAAACAACAGCTCCTTTCAGAGCAGTCCTTGGGCAGCACTGAGAGGCAGTTTTAATTAAAAATTACTGAACAAAATCTGCCTTAATTCAGGTTTCAGGCCTTAATCTTCCAGTAAACAATCCTGCCTGTTACTTCTGGTTCAGAGGGTCACTGCAACAAAAGCGATATTTGACTTGCCAACGCCTGTCAAGACAAGACGAAGCTTCTCTGGCCCAGGCTGACCGCAGGCTCTGAGCACATCACCGCACAGTGAAAGGTCCTCTTGTTCGCAGCTCTTCTTGAGATTATTAATGCCTGAACAGTAACAAAGAACCGGCTGTGAGGCCTCGTACCTGCTCTCCCAGCGACTGATCCAGGAACTTCGACTGCAGCTGATGACAGAATGATAAAACCAGCTCTCTCATCTGCGGGGGAATAAAGGGAGCAGAGCAGTCATTTCTCCTGGGTGCCAGCCAGGTTCAGCTTACAGAATCTAATTAAGATGTTACATAATACCTCCAAAAGGGATTCTTCGCTATTATGGAGTAATTTTAATGCTAACTGAAAGCCCTTTGCATTTAACTCCATTTAGGCCGCTGTATCAAAAAGTGAAACCAAACCAAAGAGACTGCTGAGCAGGTAATTCTAAGTTAATTTGATTTCTAGGGTTTGACATCTTTCGTATTTCTCTTCCTTTTAGAGAGTGGAAAAATCTTAAGATGGTAATATTGACAGCAGCCGTCTGACCACCTTGTATCATTTTGTTAGGTATCAGAAGATAAGCAAGGCTGTACCGGGTCAGCACTGGGATGGGAGACTGCCAAGGAAAAGCAGGATACTGCTGTAAGTGGTGCTGGTGGACCAGTAGGTGGCGCTCTTGCCTCAAAAGTTCCAAACCAGGACCAGGGGATACTGTACTATAGGAGGTGCCACCCTTTGAATGAGACATTAAACTGAGGTCCTGAGTATTTGGTCATTAAATACATTTATATTTATAATACATTTATATTTATATCTATGGTTACATCTATATTTATATTCATACGTGTGATACGATTTTCTGTGTACTGTTCTGTTCTAGTTTCCTCTTGTGTGTCCGGACTGTGAGTAACTCTTGTATTGTATTGTATGTATTGTTCTATTATTATATAATTCGTTACACTGTGGCTGTGTTGTGTGTGTTAAGCTGCTGTTGCACTGCAATTTCCCTCACGGGATCAATAAAGTATCTATCTATCTATTAAAGATCTAGTGGCACTATCTGTGACAGTAGGGGAGTTAATTCCTGTCTTGACCACATTTGACTCATGGCTTGTACAATCTGGCCTACTTAAAATACTCCTTTAATTGACTGGTGAACCAATACCTCCCTTCTCTACCTAGTCAGTCCGATGTGGAGTGAGGCAGCTGACTCAGTGCCTGCTGTGCATAACCCAGCTGAGACACAACTGGCAACACATTGCAGCTCAGCAGGTGTGAGCCTGGCCAGCACCTGGATGGGAGACCTCCTTGGGAAAAACTAAGGTTGCAGTTGGTTGAGGTGTTAGAGGGACCGGTATATAAGTATAAGGAATTATTATTACTTCACTAGGAACCCTCCTATATGCAAAGTATTTAAGGTCCTTAGGCATATATAAAAAAACGTCTTTGCATTTATGTCTCCTAGTGCACAGTGTCCACAGTCACCATTTTGATGCACAAATGTTCTTCATACCTGCTGACCTCACACCGGCGTGTTTAAAGCTGCTCATTTTAAATCGTTTTTAAAAACTGACCATCTAAAATAATACGTTTGCAAGGGATAGAAATAAAAGGTGCCCTGAGACTTTTCCTCATACCTTTTTGTCTAGATTATCCAGTAAGAAAGTGGTGGCTACAGGCTCTGATGTCTTCCCATTTCCTTCAGCGTTCCTGTTGTTCCACTGGCTCACCAAATCCTCCGGATTGTGAGCAGCAAACAGCAAACCGAAAATCTGAGACGCAGTCAGCCACACCCAGGAATGGGGGTACCACAGATGAGAGTCAATGTGACCTAAATGAATAAAATTTTAAAAGATGAGGAAAAACAACCACGCAGGTTATTGTAATGAAGCACAAACACCATGACTGTACAGCGACATGAGGTATTTGTGAACACAGATTTGTGTATTTCATTTCCATCCATCCATTTTCTAACCACTTTATCCAATACAGGGGAGCCAGAGTCTCTCCCAGCAAGCAGCGGTGAAAAATGTAATTTGAACTTTTAAACGTAAATGAAACAATTAGACCTTTGCCATCAAACTGTTGCCATTAATTGAAGCTGAGATCAATTCAAACCTAGAACTCAGCCTGGGTCCCTTAGAACAATCACTCGCACAGCTGAGATACACACTTAAATTCATGCAAACGAACAGAGAAAGCACGATACATTAACAGAACAGCCTGCAGCCCCCTCCAGGATAGTAGGTACGATTTTCCAGAGGACAAGAGATAAAGCAAACACTTACTCCAGATTTTCCTGAGGGTTTCCTGTGGTTTGGAAAGCTGCAGGAAGTTACATTCCTTCACCAGTTTGGTCACCAGAGTGAGAAGACTGAACAGCAGTCTGTCAGCAGCCTTTTCATCGGCTTCTTCTTCAATCTGACGGAACAGGAAGGCAGGAAAGCAGTATTATTTTCGCCTTGTCTGCTCTCTGGGCTTCTGAAGCGGTTTTCCTGAATTCAGGAAATGGGAATGAGGGTCTCGTGTCCTTTGCTGAAGCTGATTTTTGTCTGGGCAACACAAGGCTGCCGTAGGAAATATGCTGCCGTTCTCACTTAGATCTCTAATAATAGTCACTGCATGATTTCCATTTCTCAAATAACATATAATTTCAACCGGATTTTGAACGGAGATGCAAACCAGGCTTCCAGATCAACCATCTACCAACAAGATGTCCTTTCATGTGACTCTGAGTCACTAAACCACAAACCTACAATTTTAAATACAATTGATCTAAAATACAACCAAATATGCAATTAAAACACTTGCACCAAACAGCATGCCATTATAAAAACATGCACAGGACAGGAAAATGGAGAAACAAGCTCATGTTATGGCTAATGAACAAATATGACCAGTTACTTCTTAGACTACACCTGTGTCACCCGAATACCTGTGTTGGCAGTCAAATGCACCAAGACCCAAGGGTGCAACTGCAGAAGTGGAACAGAGTTTTTAATACTGTTTGTGGGCTTTTGGGCTTCTTTTCACCACTCTGAAGAATAACTCACGTTTTCAAATTTCGAAGGGTCGATCTCACTTTCAATAAGAGGGAGCAGATCCTCCAGTCGTCTGCCGAACTGCAGACCTTCTCCTTCTGCGAACAGCCCACAGACCTGGACCCCCAGGCGCCGGAGTGAGCTCTGCAAGAGACAGAAACGGACACGGGCTCTCAGGACCGTCACACACCCAGGGGCTTAAAAGGGGCAGCCCAGGATGGACCGACAGTGACAAACACAAGTGAAAGCTGAGAGCGAGTGGGACTGAAAATGGGAGGCATGTGCTGTAGGATTCTGGATCTTACTGTTATTAACTGATCCAAGGATCTCTCCTTGAAAGGAGTCAGGATATTTTGTTCCACACTCCTGCAACCCCTTGTATAAAGTAGTGCCACCTGGTCTTGGTTTTAAATACACTTACAAGTAGTTTAGTCCTCTGGTTTGTTTCACTGCTTATTCTGAAGACGTCCCCTGAGTTGACCAAGTTGAGTAATTTTGCCAACTAAACTTAAAATGAATCTGCTAGCTCGTACCTTCTCGTCAGTGAGCCAGGCTTGTACCAAGGCGTACATGTTGTCCTGGTGGTCTACGTCCAGCTTGCTGAGAAGCGATTTGATAGCCAGGGCGGCCATCTTCTTGCACTTTGGAGAATCATCATTCACCATCACCAAGGCGAGGGGCGCGAACAACAGGCCGCAGTGGTGATGCAGCAGTTTCTAATGCAGACACAGATCACAGAAAATGCTCAAGTCATACAGTCGCTGTGCTGGTGATAGCCTTTCCAGACTGCTTCGTAAGAAGGTTTAAGAATCGCCCGAGCTACAGCACCTTGCAAAAACTATTCACCCTCTTCTACATTTTTTTTAACTACATATGATGTGAACACACAAAATGAAAGATTTAAAAAAGGTAACGTGAAACTTGAATGCTTCAGGGTGATGGAAGTTCAATGTCTCAATGTCAGCTGCACTTTGTGCAAAAAATATCAAAAACTAAAATACAGCATAATAGAATATGCTGATAGCATAAGTATTCTATATAAGAGTTAATACTTAGTAGAGGTACCTTTCTGCAGCAATTATTGCTGCAAGTGTTTCTGGAAAATACTCTACTAACTTTATACACCATGATGGTGCAGTTTTCACCCCTTCTCCTTCGCCAGTTTGCTCGAGCTCTGCTATGTTCGTTGGGGATCATTGACAGACAGCAATTGGTCTATTAAGCAGTACATTTTGACTTAAAAGTTTGCTTTTAATTTTCAAATGGATAAGGCTTTCGTGCATGTACCATGAATGTCATTTTCAATAGACAATGACTGACTGTGCTACTGCAATAAAAAGAATAGGATTTATTTTGAGATCTGTTAATCGCCAATGATTCTTATACCCCAGCACAACTGTACTGTCAATAAAAGCTCAATGCAAACTCCTTCAAACCAGCAGGAGGTCCAGAGAGGACCGGGCACGTCTTCTCCTGACACAGGATTCAATCATTCCCCATTTCAATGTCTTTGACACACCTTATAGGAGAGCTACCATCATTTGGAAGGGAGATACAGCTCTCCCTGTCAGTGTTGTAACCTCCTTTACAGGTAATGGGGATCCCCTCCACCAATACCAATGTGCAGCATCCACATGTGCACAACTGCCTGGAGCAAGCCAATTCCCAACCAACAATTAAAACTGGCACTGCACTACAGCAACACGCACTCCTGAGCTCTTGCCTGCTGTGGTGAGTTAAAACCATTCATCGGTGTTTTGTAAGTTCTGTCGTTCATCAAGCTTGTTTTTCTTTTTGTTCTGAATGAGTGATGTTGTTAGACGTTGTTTTGTTTCGCGGCATTGTAGTGTTGCTGTATTGTGTTATTGGTGCATACTGTATGTCATATGTTTATGAGCTCTTGATGTACAAGACAGATTCCTTTAGGGACAATAAAGTTTAATTCCCATTCAAACGTTTGAACTCAGGAGCGTTTGCCATTACTGGCCACCGGAGGGCAGCATCTCACACTACATTCAATTACCTGGGGGAAGGTCTGGAAGATATAGGCCATAATTTCCAGGGCTGACTCTCTTCCGGTATCATATTCGTAACTGTCAAAATAAAGTGAGATTTTAAACATACAGCAACCGAGGATACAAAGAAGAGTTATGACTACAGAATTGTTACAGATGATCATTTTGGTCTACACTTTGAAGCAGAAATGTTTTCCAAGAAACTAACAGTTACTTGTGTGATGGAATATTAGCATGAATGAACCATACAGGACAGAGATGTGGACACTGCATATCCGAGAGAACGCGTTTGTTGTCGTTAATGTCAGTAATTTAGGACTGACTTTCAATTCTGATGACACAAAAAG